AGGAAGTAAAATTCATGCCCAGAAAATTCTTTTTAAGGACTTATGCCTCTAATTTTCCTATTCAACTAAACTTACACTTGCTGGCCATCTGTATACAGACACAGCACTCCATCTCTGGTATGGGAACCTTCTCTGCTGCAGATACTGTCTGCCGGGTATGCAGTGGCTGGAGCAGACCTTCGCCAGACTGTTGCTTATGCATGACCTGGACAGTGCGGCTTCCTTGTCTCAACATAGGGACTGTGAGTCAAGATGCTATAATGCTGAAATGACTTTAATCCATGCTTATGAAGGAAGCTTTGCATCCATGGCCAAGGCTATGGATGTCAAAGAGCCCCATCTCTTCTCTTTTAGCTGCACTGCCACAATTCTGCCAGCACTTCCCATCTGTTTCAGGTTACCAGAAAGGCCCAGAAGTCACCAGCCATATTTAGAGCTCTGGCCCAAATAGATCAGGATTCAGAAATATCATGGCCACTGTATGATATCATGACAGCTATATAAGCTTTTATGGACTGGCTACTAAACACATCTGCCATGCAGACATGTATCAGTATCTAAAACACTGACTCAAGTGAATCTTGAGACTATGTTAATAATTTCATTTCTTTGTAATCTATACAATTAGAGCATATAAAATAGCTAAATAGTAAACTCCCAACAGCCATAGCCAAGGAGAGCATTTAATGATAAAACAGAAGGCATCCTGAAGTCTATATTCCAGCTCAAGAGAGGATCTTTTCAGTGGAGATCTAATGAAAAACACTGTTATTGCCACATGGCAGAGTAATATTCCATCCACCACTATAGCCTGGCTTGAGAGGTTACAAGGAACAAGATCTGTGAGGCAGCCACAAGAAACTGGTGGCTGCATTTATTAGACAGCATTAGAAAAATTCACACTTGCTTGAAGATGGATTTAGAATGAACTTCAAATAACATCTGACAATCTGAAAAATATCTACAATTAGTCATTCAGATCCAGACCCAAGGATGTGCTCATCAGTGTGCAGCCAGGCCTGGCTCATGAAAGCTCAAACGGCTGGGAAAGCAATATTAACAGCAGTGCAATATAGAGACAATCACCCATGACATCTGAACAGAGATTTTCACCAGGTTCTCAGAAACTGAACATTAAGTTTCCATCACAGGAAAGAATGCTCATTTTCAATTATACCTTTTAAAGCCAAAGTAAGGCTAATGTAAATAACCTTGTTATTTATAGGACAGATATATTCACTAAGTAGCTCCTGTTGAATTGCTATACGTAAGTGCTCATAGCACTCATACTGACTAAAGCAAGAGAAAGACAAGCAATGTCACCCGAAGAGATCTTACTATCTCTTTTACATTGCTTAGAGCTTGCTTCTTGGAGCTTGCAAGGAACAGCCATTACTATTTGTTAAGTAAATGGAAGTGTCGTTTAAAAGCTATTTTATACTATTATTTTGTTTTTTACTACTTTATGTACATGAATGTTTTGCCTGCATTTATGTCTGCACATCTCTCAAGTGCCTGGTGCCTACAGGAGCTAGAAGAGGGCATTGGATCCTCTGAGATCTGCATTTCATGTTTGTGAGCTACCACGGACATAATAGAAATAAAACTTAAGTCTTTTGGAGGAATAGTCAGTGTCCTTAACTGCAGAGCCATCTCTCCAGCCTCATTCTTATGTTTTTTTTCTATTCTAAGTATGAACTATGCCTCTAATGTTTTTATGTCCTGAACACCTTGTTATAGTATTTTACATGTGTGTTTGTGTGTAACACATATTTGCATCTCTCCTTTTAATTATATGATGTATAGTATTTCTTTTTTTGCTTTGAATCTAGTTGCTTTAATCTCAAATGTTATTCAAAGGCTTTGGATATTACTGCTTAGTAAGCTTCTCATCTCAAGTTCAAATAGATTTAAAACCCATAGTTGTTTAAGAAATCATTGTTGATTTTTCAATCAAAAGTTTGGGGGTTGTTTTTTTTTTAATTTTATGTATATGAATGTTCTTGCCTGAATTTATACCTGTGTAACATAAGCATGCAGTACCCAGGGAGGCCGTAAGTGGGAGCTGGATTCTCTGGAACTGGGGCTATAGACAGTTGTATGCCACAACTGTGTGTGCTGGGAACAGAATGCAGGTCCTCTGGAAGAGCAGCAGGTGTTCTTAACTGTTGAACCGTTTCTCCAGTCTCAAAACTGTATTTTTAAACACAGTTTATTTACTTATTATTTGTACAGCATTCTGCCTACATGTGTGCCTACACACCAGAAGAAAGCACCCCATCTCATCATAGATGGTTGTGAGCCACCATCTGGTTAATGGGAATTGAACTCAGGATCTTTGGAAGAGTAGCCAGTGCTCTCAACTGCTGAGCCATCTCTCCAGCCCTCAAAACTGTTTTTTTTTTTTTTTGTTTGTTTGTTTGTTTTGTTTTGTTTTGTTCTGTTTGTTTAAATTTGTGAAAATTCTCTTTCATCTGGTAAATCCTTCTTTAAGTCTCCATTAATTCTTTAGAGACTAGTTCAAATGTCAGCCAGTCATAAGTTCTGACATTTCCTCCGCTAAAGATATATTTCTTTCCATTATCTCTTTTGGGGGCATATCTTCTCACTTATATTTATACAGGACCAGCACCAAATTCATCTTTGTGTAGCCATATTTTCAATCAATAAGCTCTAAGTAAATATTTGAACAGGTAAACTTTCTAATAAAGTCCTGTTATCATGGAAATAGTCTGTTTTGTTTTTGCTTTGTGTTTTATCAATAGTGCTAGAAACAATATTCTCAGTATTTTAAACTAATAATTCTTAATTTCCTTTCATCTTCCCTCCATTTTCACCTGTTGCAGTTGGAGCAATTTTAACTACTAAGAGCTGCCAGCTGTTTAATGACACAGCTGTGTTGTAAAGCACACAAGTGATCAGAAAGTTAAGTGTGCATAGTTATCAGAAAGGAGAGAATAACTTAATACATGAACAATTACTGAGCAATATAAAGATACACTAAACTTGATTGTCATTTACTTTTGATGTTTTTGATATTTTGATGTATACAGGTATTTGCTTGTGTGTATATCTGTGCACTACACACACACACACACACACACACACGCACACACACAGTGCTCTCAGAGAAGAAAAGAGGGTGTTAGATCCTTTTCGAACTGGAATTACACATATTTGTTAACTGCTGTGGGGGTGCTGAAATTTGAAATTAGGTTCCTTCGAAGAGCAGTCTGTACTGTTAAGCACCAAGCAAACACCCCCAAACAAATGAACAAACAACAAACAAACAAACAAACAAACAGGGTCTCTCATATTGGCAAGGCTGGTCTGAAAACTGAGATCCTCCTGCCTCACCTCCTGCGTGCTGGAAGTATATGGCACACAACTATACATTTCTTTGTAGTAATCTATCATAAAGAAGTATAGAAATTTTATCTGTTCTTTCTCCCTTGGGGGGAGCTTCCTCTGTTCCCTTTTCAGCATAAGAAAATAAAAGACTCTTCTTTCCTATGTTTTAAATATGTGTATTATGTATGCTCATGTGTGTTTATTTGCAGTGGTGACTGTGCAAATGTGTTAATATGCATGTGGAAACCAGAAAACGACTTTGGGTGTCATTCCTCAGGAGCTGTTCATTTTAGGTCTAGAACTACCCAAGTAAACTAGGCTATCTGGCCATCAAGCTGCTAGGAACTTCCTGCGTCCACATGCCCAGTGCTGGGTATAGGAAGCACAGCCTAGAATAAACATTGGAGAAACCAGGATTGTCGATCATGTGGGCCTGATTCTTCAATGGAAGGAAATTAATGATGCCTAGTCAATCCCCTGGAATCCTGGAGTGACGTGGTCAACCTGGTGATTCTTTGCTGTTCTATGAGGAGCCAGCCTCCATCTGAATCCCCCAATATCCTGAGCACTGTTTAGGCCCTAATTCTGTAGTGAATAGAACACATCACTATCAAAGATGCCCCATGTTCTCTGCATCCTCCACCAACAGAATCTATCCTTGTGCTTATCGCAGATCCTTCCTCTAGCCCCTAATCCTGAGCACTGTTTATCAGCCAATAGAATTCATTCTTTTGTAAAGGTCACATGTTACAAGTTCTATCATGCTTAAATGTATAAGAAAAGTAAAGCACGAAGTCAGTCTCTGGAAGTCTATGATCCAGTGTTTGAAAAGGTAGCACTCACTGTCCTGAGTTTCGTTCACCAACCATCTCCCCTGCAGAGCTTCAATCTTTTCCTTCTACCAGGAAGGGATTCCTTGAAAGTTTTTAATTCTTTGGGACCTGATGTTTCAATGTCTTATAATTGAAGGGATGAATAGGATGAATACAAGTGACTCTTCAGAACCTCTGACACAGTGGTCACACCAGCATCAGCCTGGCTGGCTGCTGTTACAGTCAGGTAATGGGAGGTGTTACCATGTAAGAAAGGGCACTTGAAAAGCCTCTGCCCATATCCTCTCAAGTGTCAGTCAACGATTGTTGTTTGCAACCAACTTTTATTACCCCAGTTTGGTTGTTTTAGGTTTCAAGCTTGGCAAATTCATCAATTGTATTCTGTTATATTACTAGGGCTATATCCAGGGAAAAGCTGATATTCTCACATGAACCAGATATCTAAGACACATTTTTATTTTCCTACTTCTATCTCTTCTTCATACCAAACAGGAACTTAAATCTCCTCTTTCTTCTCCTTAGACAGGATCTCTTACTCACTACGTAACTCTGGCTGGACTAGATAATGCCCAGTGTGCATCAGGCTATCGTTGAACTCACAGAGATCCACCTGTTTTGAACTCACAGCAATCTACCTGCCTTGAACTCACAGAAATTCCCCTGTCTCCCTCATGATGGAATTAAAGATATGTACCACCACACCCTGACTAAAAATGCTTCTTTAATGAAATAAATCAAGGGAAAAAACATGACCCTGATTAAAATCATAATTACAGATTTCAAAAAATCCAGTAAGAATTTTCAACTTTCACCTACCTGAAAAGGCTTCAGGAATGTTTCTTCCATTGCCAACCTGCCATATTCAGTGAAAAGCTGGGAAGAAATCAAAGGGAGAAGAAATGGGAAGAGATAGGGAGAGAAATATTGAGATTCATTGGGTTTCTTCTATTTATTCCCCTTGACTGTAATAGAATGTTACAGTATTAAGATTACATAATAATCCAGGAAACAAGCATTAAGTATATAAAGCAGAGCTACAGTAATTACATATATAAAAAGTGAGAACACAGTACATTTTAAGGAGAAACTTCCACTTTAAAGCTATCCCTCTTTCTTTTCCATTTGTTTCATGTGTGTCAGCAACTGAGCACTGTGTGCTAAGCTCCTGCCTCAAAGGTACACCCCAGCCCTAAAGCTCATGTCTTTGATATAAAAAATGAAGAAAAGACGCCCATTTGAAATGACTTTTCAATGCAGAACTTACCTTGGCTTAGAGGGTCATGATACAGCTAAGGTACATTTACAAAAGTTGTAGTCCAAAGAAATTTAAAAGTACAATGACCTGGGTTACACAGATTAGGCATTTGGCTTTAAAAGTAGGAAATTAAATGTATTGTCTTATCTTATTTTTTTATTGCTTACAGTTAGAAACACGAAGCACAAGAGTCTTTGTTTTAACAAATGCAAGGTTTTTGTGAACACAGGCTTTCGGAGATGACGGATGGGCTCCTGACACAAGCATCATCCAGGATGGGTCACTGCTTTCCCCACATGACCCAGGATGGGCTCCTCTCACACAAGGCTGACAACCACCCAGCTTCTTGGAGTCGAGGAAGAATGCGGATCCCAGCATTGCCACTCCTTGCTCCTTACAACAGCACCCCAGCCTTTACCTGTTGCCTATGCTGGGTGGGAGATGTCAAAAAAGCAAGGGTAATTACTAGCCACTTGCTGGAGTAATGCGCTCCAAGTCTGGGTGTGGCTAAATGGCAACTGGTCCAGGGACAGCATACTTAGCACATTTGTGAACTGACATAACCTTGAATTCACAATCACTTCAAAGCATGGTATTGTCATTTACAGGAAAAGTTTTGAGTAATCAAAATATACTGTTAACTCAGTATCACTGAGTATCACTCAGTGTCCTTTTGTAGACATGCGTAAATAAGCCAGTATGCAATGGTGCCATTTTGTTCATTAGGAAAGTAGCGGGCCAGATTTTGACACTTGCCAAAGAACGAGATGTTTTTATTATGGAAACACATGTAGCAAGTATTACGGGTGTCACCTTTTTGTCATACGTGATTAGTGTAAGATACCAGAATGTGTCAGGGAGCAACACCAGAGTTGAACTCCAAGTGATATTGCCAGTGTCACAGGTTACTCTGCGCTACTGTCCTTTACATCTAGTAAAGTTTCACATTTGACTACATGATTTGAATTACATGTTAAGTAAAACTTTATGTAGAACATGCAGAAAGAGAGCTATCAAGGGGATAGAATCTCTGTTACCTACTCAAGGATAACTTGAGCCGAGGCAGAAGAAAATGTTCCTGCATACATGAGAAAAATCTCTAGAACACATCTACTCTTCTACTTAAGACTCCAACTTCTTGGAGAGTGGGAGGGTCACAGGACCCAGCCAAGCATTCTTATCCTATCCTATCATTAAATAGCCACAGAAGACTCAGCAAGTCACTTATTTTTTTTCATCCTCACTTTCCTCATCTATAAAACATGAAGTACAGATTAGGTACCACCAGAGTCTCAGATCAGAACTCAAGTCCAATTCTGACTTGTCCTCATGCCTTCTCTAACAGTTCTGAGCCACAAAGTCCACAAGAAAGGAAGTCTGGCTTACAACAGACACCATACCATCAAATTACTAAATCCTTGACCTTAAGATTTTGACACTGGAATTTAGAGACTCTATACACTGAAGATTCTTTGTCCACTTTGATTTGCCATATATTTCCATATATTTAGCACTGCCAACAAGCGGGTTTATAAACAAAGGAATATGAAAACAAAATTAGAAAGAACACAACCAGCTGGGTGTGGTGGCACATGCCTTAATCCCAGCAGAGGCAGGAGGATCTCTGTGAGTTCAAGGCCAGCCTCTACAAAGCAAGTCCAGGACAGCCTTGACTACACAGAGAACCCCTGTCTTAAAAAAACCAAAAAGGGGCAGGGAAAGGAAGGAAGGAAGGAAGGAAGGAAGGAAGGAAGGAAGGAAGGAAGGAAGGAAGGAAGGAAAGAGGGAGGGAGGGAGGGAGGGAGGGAAGGAAGAAGGGAGGAAAGGAAGGAAGGAAGGAAAAAAGGAAGGAAGGAAGGAAGGAAAGAGGGAAAAAGGGATAGAGGAAGAGAGGGAGAGAGGGAGAGAGGGAGAGAGGGAGGGAAGGAGGGAGAGGAGAGAGGGAGAAAAGAAAAGCAAGAACCAAACCATACAAGGGTGGACAAGGGACCTGGCAACAGGATGACCCTTATATGATCATGTGTATGAAGTTCCCCAAGGTTCTGGACTGCATGTCCAAAGGATCACCAGATATACAAAAGGTGCTTTTACCTGGAGGTGCTGAAGATCATCCTCCTGGACATTTTGGGAAAGGTTGTATACCTTGATTATAGGATAAGAAATAAAAATGAGAAGATAATTAGGATCATTCTGAGCACTTCTGTATTCTGTTTTCATAAATGTCAATTACACAATCAATTCTCTTACACACATTTATGATACCAAGAAAGGAGTAAATTGACAGATAATAAACAAGGTAAAATTACCATAAAAATCTTTTACAAATACAAGAACACTTGTTGCAGAGTCCAAATATTACAATTGTTTTATGAACCTATTCAAAAATTACTCTTTAAAGCACACCAAGTGAGTACCAATCTAAACTTGAACAACCCTATGGGAAATTGTATGTGTGTGAGGGGGGGGGGTTGTTTTTACAGCATAATATTTCAAGCCATTTTGGGGTGGGAAGATAAGGTTTCAGCATGTTGCTCAAACTTGTGGTCCCCCTGCCTCAGCCTCCCAAGAAGTAGGAATTACAGCGTGGACCATTCTGCCCAACTGAACACTGCTTGGAAAGTGATAACTAACTCTTCATAATTTATTGATCTATTTCTGTCTACAGGATGTCCCTCCACACAGAAGTAGTTCTGAACATCAGGATCACAGCTTTATGCTCCTGCCTTATTTCTCCACCACAGCACAGTGTTCAGATGACACTGTATGGTTTGGATTTATTTCTTTTCCCCTTGAGGTGATGACATTAGTAACTTTAAAGGTAAACTTAAAAGGTCGCTTAAATGTTTACATACAAACAGTATTCTTTTTGTATTTATTTAAATAGAATACTTTCTCTGATAATAATTTAAAATAGTCATTACTTAACATACTTTTTCTATGAAAAGATTCAATGTTTTAAGGTCAAATATAAATACTAAATAATGAATGGTAAAGCAAAGTTAAACTTGTTTTAATTGGCTTGTAGAAATATCTTTCCTATTGATTTTAAAGAAAATAGATACTGAGTCAGTATTTTTTTCTGAGTCAGTATTTTAAAGATTCATTGAAGAAGCAGATTTTTATATTACAGTAATAGCCTTTTTTATGGGTAGCTTTCTTGTGCCAATCTCTTAAAAATTAATTTTTAGATGTATTTTTACTTTATGTATAAGAATGCCTTGTGTGTGTGTATATGTGTGTGTATGTGTGTGTGTGTGCCAGGTGCTTGCAGGAGTCAGAAGAGATACCCTGGAAAGAGAATTATAGATGTATGAGCCACAATGTCAGTGCTGGGAGCTGAACCTGTGTCCTTCACAAGAGCAACACATGCTTTTAACCTCTGAGCTATCTTTCCAGCCCCCAAGAAGTAGGTTTTTTTTTTTTTGTTTTTTTTTTTTTACTGCATCAACCATGAATTAGAACTATAATTTTCATGTTAAATTCATTTACTTAAAAATTGAGTTCACCCTTCCTCTTCCTTTGTGCCTGTCTGGGAAGTGCTGACCACACAGACAGACCGGCTGCGGGCTTGCTGCTCCATTTCCCATCGACATCTCATCACAGCCTGGACTGTCCTACCCTGCTTTGCCTTCCCACTTTACAAGCTGTCTTGCCTTTAAAACATTCCTCTGCTTCGTTTCTTCTATACCTTTTCTCCCTGCTCTTTTCAACAAACAGAAAACATTTAACAGCAGTCTTTAAAATTGTTTAAGCCATACACTGACTTTCAGAACAATTTAGAAAGCCTACAATACCCACCTCCCCACTCAATACTACTTTAAAAAAATTATTAATTTATTTATTCACTTTACATCCCAATTGTAGTTCCCTCCTTCCTCTCCTCCTGGTCCCACCCTTCCTCTGTCTTCCCCCTATTTCCTCTACCCCACTCCTCAAAAAAGGGGAGACCCCCTACCAGCCCACCCCAGCACATCAAGTTGCATCAGGACTGAGCATCATCTTCCCCTGTGGCCTGGCAAGGCAGGCTCTCCAGGGAGAAGTGATTGAAAGGCAGGCAACAGAGTCCATGTCAGAGACAGCCCCTGCTCCCCTTACTAGAGAACTCACATGAAGACCAAGCTGCCCATGGCCACAGTACTTTCAAAACCTATATATACAATTTTAAAATTTGCTTACTTATTATTATTTTTGGTATGTGTGATGTGTACATGTAGGGAAGGGTGCTATGACCCGTGTGTGGTGGTCTCTGGATTACTGCTTGTGTGTTTGGTGTGTGCACAGAGACACAGAGTGCCATGACCTGTGTGCAGAAGTCAGAGGACAGCTGTGTGGAGTCTGTTCTCTTTCCACCTTTCCACGTGTTCTGGAGACTGGGCTCAGGTTCTTAGGTTTATACAGGAAGGACCTTTACCTGCTGAGCTATCTCACATTTCTTTTGAGGCAGAGAGGCTGGCCTCAGATTCACTGTGTAATCAAAGCGGACTAAACTCTTCATCTCCTGCCCACCTCCTCAGCCAGAGTGACATGCATTCTCTCCACACCTGGTCTATACGATGCTAAGGATCTGAACCCAGGACTTTGTACATACAAGGGAAACACTCTACCAATTATGTTACATTCCTAGCTATAAAATTTAGTATTATTTCACTTAGTCTAAACTTTAACAGAAAAAGTAACAATAATGAAGCCATTTTGGTCTAAAGTAGTCAATTTAGAAACTGATTAGTAATTAGACGCTAGTGAGAGTAACTATTCATGTGGAGTTAACTGAGCAACACATGATTTGCCACTGCTCTCTCATTGCCATGTGCATGAAGAAACACTATTGAGTTTTAGTTAAAGAAACATCCACAAATAGATTTATTCTACCCCATACCTGCATTGAGCTTATCATTGTGCTGAGGGCAAACACTGTGGCCGAATCTCTCAAAGTTGACTGGCTGTCAAAGGTTCCCTGAGTATCCATCAGTAACACTGCAATCTACAGGAGGACAGAATACATCACTAATATGATACAGAATGTCCAGAGTACCAGGGCTACCATGACATCAACACCAGAAGAACTAAAGGAATCTATTATCAATGAAAACTTCAAAGGTAGCTTTTTACATGTGCCATGAATGTCACAGAAAATTTTAAATTTTAATTAGCTGCTGGGTGTGGTCATTTTTAATTTTCACTGATAATCTAGGATAAAAACACAGCATTGAGACAATGTAAAAATATCAGCTTGTTATCTGCTATTCTGTATTCATTGTGATTTTTTTTCTCCTGGGACAGCCAAAGAGTTAAACAGAGATCATTTAAGAGGACTCTACACTTACCCTGTAGCATTATGTGTAATGGACAAATAAGTTTTCAAAACACCATTTCAAAGTTACTATTGAAAATAAAATTTTAATTTTGTTTAAAAAGTATCATACCTTTTTACCATCAAGTTTGTTGATAAGAAAAACTTCACTCCATATCTGGATTCCTGTAGTTTCTCGTTCAGATCCACCTCTCCATGAAAATCCAGTCAATGGTTCATTGTAATCTCCAACCCAATCAACAGATTCCTATAAATTTAATAAAGTCTATGATTCAGAATGGAACATGCATGTATGGTTTTTCCTGCCATCCCCCCCCATCTTTTTGGTTTTTTGAGACAGGGTTGTCTGTGTGGCCTTGGTTGTCCTAGACTCAGTTTGTAGACCAGGCTAGCCTCAAAATCACGGAAATCCACCTGCCTCTACCTCCCAGAGTGCTGGGATTACAGGCGTGTGCCACTGTGCCTGGCTATCCTTTTTTTTTTTTTCATTATTTTATTTTTTAAACTAATTTATTTTTATTAATTATAATTTATTCATTTTGTATCCTAGCTGTAGCCCCCTCCCAGTTCCAGCCTTCCTCCTTCTTGTCCTCCCATGCCCCTTCCCCAGTCCACTGATAGGGGAGGTCCTCCTCCCCTTCTATCTGGCCCTAGCCTATCAGGTCTCATCAGGACTGGCTGCATTGTCTTCCCCTGTGGCCTGGTAGGGCTGCTCTCCCAATCCTCAGGGGGGAGGTGATCAAAGAGCCAGCCACTATATTTATATCAGAGACAGTCTCTGTTCCCATTACTAGGGAACCCACTTGGACACTGAACTGCCATGGGCTACGTCTGTGCAGGGGTTCTAGGTTATCTCCATAAAGATTTATTTATTTATTATGTATACAGTGTTCTTCCTGTGTGTACACCTGTACGACAGAAGAGAGCACCAGATATCATTATAGATCTGTTGTGAGCCTTCATGTGGTTTCTGGGAATTGAACTTTAGAAGAGAAGTCAATGCTCTTAAACCTTTGAGCCATCTCTCCAGCTCCCTGGCTATCCTTTTTAATCCTTCTCTTTCTCTAATTCAAATTGAAAGGAAAAAAATGTGTGCATATCTGTTACATTGAGACAATCACCTTACTCATGTTTATTCATGCAAAAGTAATTACAAAGAAGCAACCGTCTGCTGTGGTTTATATTAGGTTCTGGCTAGCATCACTACCATTTATACACATACACATGTATATAATATATATGTATATGTCAGAATGTAAATGTATATAAAGCAAATGTGGAAACATAGGAAATGGAACAACAATTCATTCATTCATTCATTCATTCATTCATTCATTCATGTGTATGTGTGCCTGGTGTGAGTATACACGTAGATATGAAGGTGTCTGTGCAGCCTAGAAGAGGATGTTGGGTCCCCTCTAACTAGAGCTACAGGAGGTTGTGGCTGCCTGACATGGGTGTTGGGAATTGAACTCTGGTCTTCTGGAAGAGCAGTAAACACTCTTAAACCTCTAAACTATCAATCTAGAACAACTAATCTTTGCTGAGGTAAGACTTCATGGAAAGGGGGGTACTAGAAGACTATTTGGAAACTGTCCTTATAAACAACTTGAAGAAGACATTCAAGGAATTAAGAAGAAAAGAACAAAGTAAATGAAGAGGGAGGGAGGAGAAATGGGAGGGAATGAGTAAGGGGAGGAGGAATATTATCTTGGGACATATACAAATGCTCTGGTACAGGGCTGAGGGGAAGAAGACAGGCAGGTAGAGAGAAGTTAGACTGCCAGATTCTAAAGGCCCAGAAAGGTGCTTAACAGAGATATTCTCCTACAGGCAAAAGGGAGTCAGGATGCTGCAGAGTGAGTCACCATCATAAATATGAGAAAAAAGACTATTCAAGAAGTAGTAAAGATTTTAGTATGATTATCCTATATTATATGTTGGTAAGATGCTCAATCTTCATTCAGAAAGATAAACAAGATGGATATCAGAGAGGGAGAAAACAGGGAACAGGACAGAAGCCTATCACAGAGGGCCTCTGAAAGACTTTACCCAGCAGGGTATCAAAGTAGATGCTGAGATTCATAGCCAAACTTTTTGCAGAGTGCAGAGAATCTTATGAAAGAAGGGGGAGATAGAAAGACCTGGAGAAAAAAAAAGAAAGAAGAAAGGAAGAAAGGAAGAGAGAGAGAGAGAAAGAAAGAAAGAAGGAAGGAAGGAAGGAAGGAAGGAAGGAAGGAAGGAAAGAAAGAAAGAAAGAAAGAAAGAAAGAAAGAAAGGAAGGAAGGAAGGAAGGAAGGAAGGAAGGAAGGAAGAAAGAAAGAAAGACCGACCTGGAGGGAACAGGAGCTCCAAAAGGAAGCAACAGAACCAAAAAATCTGGGCACAGGGGTCTTTTCTGAGACTGATACTCCAAACAAGGACCATGCATGGAGATAACTTAGAATCCCTGCACGGAAGTAGCCCGTGGCAGCTCAGTGTCCAAGAGGGTTCCCCAATAATAGGAACAAGGACTGTCTCTAACATGAACTCATGGTCTGGCTCTTTGATCACCTCCCCTTGAGTGGGGAGCAGCCTTACCAGTCCACAGAGAAAGACAAAGAAGCCAGTCCTGATGAGACCTGATAGACTAGGGTCAGATGGAAGGGTGGAGGACCTCCCCTATCATTGGACTAGGAGAGGGGCATAGGAGAAGAGGAGGGAGGGAAGGTGGAATTGGGAGGGGATGGGAGTGGGGGCTACAGCTGGGATACAAAGTAAATAAACTGTAATTAATAAAAATAAACAAAGAAAAAAGAAAAAAAAGAAGTAGTAAAGAGCTAGTAAGGGAGATAAATAACAGGAAACCAAAAAGTAGGTTATTATAAAAGTAAAAAATATGCTTGTGGGCCTGGCTATGAACAGGAGAGAGGGGAGGGACACAAGGGAACAAGTACAAGAAAGATTTGAGAACCTAAAAGAAGAAAAGCTAAACTGAAAATTATGTCAGAACTAAATACTAAGTGAGACAAGAAATATAAAGAATCACTTAACTTTAGCAGTTTTCACTGATAACACTGGGTAATTGTAGCTGTATTTACTTTGATATCTGTTACAGAGGACACTTTAGTGGTTTTTGGAAGACCTCTTTTGTAATGGAAGTTTTGTCTTCTTTTTATGTTATGTAAAAATGCTTTTGTTTTAATCCCAAGTGTGGGATTTTAGTTGGGGTTTAGTTGTCCACAGCGGTTAACTGTCTCATGCAGAGCATGGCTTTTGCCAGCTAGTAATGGCCTTCCACGTGCAGGGCGTGATCCAGGACTCTGACAGTGTAAATATGAGATCATGTGGCATGTGGCAGTTTGGAGACCAGGGACTAGAGAGGGTGTGGCAGTTTGAAGCAGACAGACAGAGAGAAATGCTTCGGGGCTCAGAGAATGGAGGAGCCTGCTAGTTGCATCTGCAGTTGATGGAGATTTGATTGAGCCCTAAGGAACCCCTTGACCCTAAATAGCTGGGAGAAGTAAAAGGATCTGGGCCCCTCTACTCACTAACCTGTTCTCTCTCCTACTTAAGGTTGGGGGGGGGGGTTGGTGGAAGGGACAAACACCCCAAATAAAATAAAGTTTTTAAAAAAGACCTAAAGAGGGCTGGAGAGATGGCTCAAGAGGTTAAGAACACTGGCTGCTCTTCCAAAGGTCCTGAGTTCAATTCCTAGCAACCACATGGTGGCTCACAACCATCGATAATGGTATCTGGTACCCTCTTCTGGCCTGCTTGCACACAAGCAGACAGAATACTGTATAAATAACAATAAATAAATAAATACTGTGTAAATAAATGAATAAATCTTAAAAAAAAAAAAGACCTAAAGAAGCTAAACACTAAGGAGGACCCTAGGCAGGATGCTTAAATCTCATTCAGAATGGCAAAAAGGATAGACACCAGAAACTGTGAGAATAGAGAAAACAGGATGGGAGCCTTCTATAGAGGGTCCTCTGCAAGACTCCATCAAACAGAGGATCAAAGCAGATGCTGAGACTCACATTCCAAACTTTGAGCAGAATGCAGAGTCTTATGGAGAAGGAGAGGGGTAGGATTAGAGGGTCATGGAGGGGACAGGAGCCCTACAAGGAGTCCAACAAAGCTAAAAGATCTGAGCCCAGAGGGTCCTGCAGAGACTGATGCACCAAAGGAGAACCATGCATGGAGAGGACCTAGACCCCTGCTCAGATGTAGTGGATTGGCAGCTCAGTCTCCATGTGGATCTCCAAGTGAGGGGAACAGGGGCTGTCTCTATCATGAACTCAGTTGACTACTCTGATCACTCGCCCCTGATGATGCAGCCCTGCCAGGCCATGGAGGAAGAGGATCCAGGCAGTCCTGATGAGACTTAACAAGCTATGGGCAGATGGCAATAGTGGAGAACTCCCCCTTTCAGTGGACTAGGGAAAGGAGCTGAAGGGAAGAGGGAAGAAGGGTGGGCCTGGGGGAGTTGAGAGTGGGGACTTCAATTGGGATATATAATGAATAAATTGCGAAGAAAAATACACAAAGAACTAAAAAAAAAAAAAAGACTGCTACAGGTGGCTTTCTGCTACACTCTTTAAATAATCCTTGAATTAAAAACTTTGTATTAACTAAATTACAAAACTTTACAAATGCAGACTAGTTGAATTACTAAGTCTACACAAACTAGTGGAAAATATAATTTTGCTATACCATATATTTAAAATATTTTTATTAATTATTTGACAATTTTATATATAATATCTAGATCATATTCATTCCCCTCCCCCAATTCTTCCCATTCCATACCTACCCTATTCTCTGTGTGTGTCCTCATAAAAACAAACAAACAAACAAACACCAAATCCAGCTGGGCAGTGGTGGCAGATGCCTTTAATCCCAGCACTTGGGAGGCAGAGGTGGTCAGATGTCTGTGAGTTCGAGGCCAGCCTGGTCTACAAAGCTAGTTCGAGGACAGCCAAGGCTACACAGAGAAACTCTGTCTTGAAAGAAAAAATATTGACTCCAGTTAGGGCTGCCAATATACTGTTGGTTGTGCAGCCATCCACTGGAGCATGGCTGACCTATCATGGGTGACACCTTTCGAGAAAACGAATTCTCCTTCTTTTGACAGATGTCAGTTCCCAATAGTTCCTCAGCTGGGGACAGACATCCTGACCACCTCCTGCCTCGCTGCTGAGATTTAGTCTGGCTTGAGCATGGGAGTTTACACAGCTGTGGGTTCACAAGGGCAACTGCCCTTTTGTGTCCAGAAAACACTGCTTCCTTGTCATCCACAGCCTCTGGCTCATACAGTCCTTCCACCCCCTCTTCGACAATGATGGCTGAGCCCTGGGAGGAGGGAGTGTGTTATATCCTGTCTTATTCTAAAAAGCAATTTTAGACCTTATAAAAAGCATAAGTATGGGTTGCACCATCTGTGCATTCATTCAGTTTTACGTCTTCATTTCCAGTAAAATGCTCTCCATGGAAGATGCACCCTTTGTTTACTGCAGACAAGCAATTCAGCCCCCTCAGTCTAGAATATCCCTTCTATTGCCTCTCTTGATGCAGCTCTTGCACAGCTATCACCTGCCAACAGTTCCTCAGCTAGGGTGGCTCTCTGTGCCTATTTTCCTTGTTCATGTTGAGATTTGGGCTGGCTTGAGACAGGTCATGTGTGTGCTGTCACAATCTCTGTGAGTTCTTACGTGTTGCTGTCCTGCTGTGTCTGGAAGATACTGTTTCCTTGGAGTCATTACCATATCTGGCTCTTGAACTCTTTCTAGTCTAGCCTCTCCTTTAAAATGATCCATAAGCCTTGGGAGAAAGGCATGTGATACAAAGCTGAGCACTGTTCCAATATTTTCTTGAATCTTAATTATCTAATTATCCAAACCACAATATGTTTAAGTATAAAATCTGTCTTCTTTGGTATCCTCCATGATACCTAACACAATGCAAGGAGTCAATACTAACTAGTCAATGTAAATATTTAAATTAATCAACACATGCTGCTTTAAAAAACAGCTGGAAAGTATACTTCAGTGGATAAACTGTAAAGGTTATGAATTAGGAAAATAACATTATTGTGACAATAACTGAGGACAATGATCAACCTATGGTATCATAAAAGTTCTGCTCCAGAAAAACAATTTTGAAAGACAAGGGATATAGCCACAAATAATGACTTTGGAAGATTGAAAATTTAGCTTGTTTCATTCATTCAGGCATGCATTCACTGTATGTTTAATTATTAATTATTGGCGACTATGGTTCAGGCATAAGATAAAGTTAACAGTTTTCCTGATAAAAAAGGACATAGTTTGCCACATTTAAAGTCAAGTTTCACCACTGTAACATAAGGGGTAGCTGTGTGTGTAGAAGTGGGGGTAGAGTAGGTCCACACAGTCCTGATACCTGCCCCTTTGCAGTGAATAGCTCAGCAAATGTTCATATTCTGTCTCATTCTTAACGCTCAGCTAGGTGCAGACAAAGACAAAAAGGGATCCAAGCAAGTCCTCTTTACCACAGGCAACTTGACTTGAATAGAATGTCCATCAATATCCAATCTATGTTAAGTATCATGATACCTTTGGTGTGTTTGAAGTCAGGGTTTTAAAGAGTCTTGCTTGCTTTCAAAGCCTGAATTATCTTAGTACTTACTTCTATTCTTTATCTGTTTGAACTAAAGCTAGATAAAGGCTAGCCTCAAAAAATGTCTTAAAATACCTCATACCTCATAAAAGACCAAAAAATACCTCATAAAAGATCAAACTAAAAATAGGTAACTGTGCTATAAACACACAGTCCAAAGTACTTTTGCGACAGTCTTGTCATGTGGCTTAGCCTGGCCTGGACCTAATTTTTTTCTTCAAGACAGGGTTTCTCTGTGTAGTTCTGGCTGTCCTGGAACTTGCTTTGTAGACTAGGCTTGTCTGGAACTCACAGTGATCTACTTGCCTCTGCCTCCTGAGAGCTAGGATTAAAGGCATGTACCACAACACCTGGCCTGCTAGTTCGCAACTTGTAATTCTTCCACTTCGGCCTCTCCAGTGCTTCAGAATATAAAACTCTTTGGGTGGTGTCTCTTCTACTTCAAAATTCCCTGTTTGCATTAGAATTCAGTGTGAAGGAGAAATGCCAGAGTGTTTCCCTTTGCCAACCTCTAGCCTTGTTCTAGTTTCCCATTCATCCTTCTGCACTTGGTAGGGCCAAGGTCCTTGAAGTCACATTTCTGTATCACCTGGTTTTGTCAGACACTATCAGTTGCCTCTGGGGGTGGGGCGAGGTGAGAATGGACTAGGAAAAGCTATGAAGTACTTTCTGGGGGGAATGATGGTGTTCTGTTTTTGAGTTCTGGACTGCACAGAGATATGCATTTATAAAAACAAATGCACAGCAAATATATATGTGCCTCTGTGTATAGATTTTATTTAAAAACAAAAGCTATGATAATAATGTATGATTTATATTGAAACACGGGGAGGAAGTACACTGATGTTAGCAATGTCATGGAGTGATGAATGACTTGGAAGAAGGAGTGCATACAGATGATAAATCAAGAACATTAATGCCAGTGGAAGAATGTAGGCGTTGGCACCCAAGTGCTCACTGTGAAATTCCTTTGCCTCAAGCTTTAGGAATGTCATCACAGGCACTGTGAGGAAGTTATTAAAAAGGAAGTTTATGGTAAAATTACTTGACATTTTAAATACTACAACATGTAAAATTCATAGTTATGTCATTATACTAGTGCTAATTTTTAAAAGAGCAAAAAGTAAGTTGCATCCTCATGTGAATGCAGGACAGTAGCATACAGGGAAACTCATGTGTGTAGTCAGTTTCCAAAGCACTGAGGTTGGAGTAGTTAGACCACAGCCTTTACAGCAGGCACACATAATAAGAGAGACAGAAACACTGAATGCTAACGAGAGCACAGCGTGGAAGCAGCACAGGAACAAATGCTTTTAAGCATCCTTCCCTACCTGGTTGTACATGTACCGCAACATGAAGTCCATCAGGAAGGACTTTCCTTTTCTGAAGGCTCCAGCAACGGACACGGCAACCACCTCCTTGTCTCTGACGGCCTCGGAGAGAAGGATCTGGTTCAGCGCAGCCTCATCTAACTCAAAGGAATGGTCATCTTTGACAATGAGTACTTGGACAGGACCTGCCTTTTTCACCGGTTCCTCCTCTTCTGAGCTCCATTCACTTGACTTCTCTGAAAACCCACCTGTTGAACAAAGTATCAATTACTTTAGCTAGTTATCTCAAAACACCATGAAGTAAGTGCCTCTTGACACTCACACGGAGTTGGGAACGTTCATTCTAGTCATGTTTTATATCATGCAAACCATATCACTTAAGCCAGACTAGCAACTTAGTCTTCCTAGTCATGTGACTGAACCATTATTTTTTTTTCAAAATGCTCTAAGTCAGTACAAAGTTCTTTACTAAACAAGAAAAAAAAATCTTAAGTAAGTAGTCAATTTTGGAGCAGATGAACATCATGATTACATTTTACACATCCTCCATCCTCTAAGGATCTTTGTGGTGCTTCTTTGTGTATATGTGTGAGTGTATGTGAGAGGGCACATGTACCTGGATGTGCACACAGATGGAGGTAACAGGCCTTTAGCAAGTGTCTTCCTCAATTACTTTCCATCTTGTTTTTTGAGACAATGCACCTCGCTTAATCCAGAGCTTATAGATTCAACTAGACCAACTTACCAGCCAGCCCCAGGGGCCCTGCGATCTCTACCTACCCCACTGGGCTTATGGGTGTATACCACCATACTGGGTTTTGTGTGGTTGCTGGAGATGAAACTCAGGCCCTCATGTTTGTACAGAAAGCATGTAACTGACTACAAACACTTGTATTCAGACCTCTACACGCATGCCTATGCACATATCATGAACATGTGTATGTGTGGACATGCAAACATTTGTTATGTATGTGTGTGGTGTATATACATATGAGAGTATGCCATGTGTGTGCAGGTAATCGTAGGGGCCAGAAGAGTGCATGGGATCCCTGGAGCTGGAGTTTTAGGCAGTTGTGAGCCAGCAGATATAGGTAGTGGGAACTGAGTCATATGGAAGGAAAAGTGATAAATACTCTTACACAATGAGCCATCTCTTCAAATCTCATACTTTAAAAACAGACAGAAAAAAATAACCCAAATGACCAAGAACTCTAAATGCCAATCAAGGGACCAAATCTAAGAACTCATGAGATAGAAGGAGTTACGATAAACAGCAAAGCATGGAGTATTCAATGACATTGCAGCAGAAACTCTTCCAGTCTGAAGAAGAAATGAACATGCAAACATAAGAGGCGTTCAGCATGAGAGACAGAAGACACAGAACAGCACATGCTCACCCCAAAATCTGCTGCGCAAGCACACATGCATCTCCTCACTCGCCATATGCTAGCAATGGTGCAGAGCAACTGCTGACGCAATATAATAAATTATATTACAGTATCCACATACATTTAGCACTTTGCTGTATCTCACAAACTCCTTATGAAGATCTGAAAATAATTATATCTATTTTGCTTTAAAGGTTTGCTTTTGATAATTAAGTTCTGTCAGGAGCTGGTGCGAAAATAAAAAGTGTATGATAGAAATCAAACTTTTCCTAGACCCATAACACTCTATCATGATTGAAAATAGTTTAGAAAAGTTATTAACTATAATATGGAATGCCTCTATTGTCTAACTAATATTAGTTTGTGCTATTTTAATCCTTTGGAGCTAAATATTATAATAAATATGCTGATTTGTTTTTTAATTAAAACTGCATTGTACTGCTAAGCATGGTGGCAATCCAATAACTGGGGAAGCTGAGGCAAGAGAATCTTTTTTTCTTCACAATTTATTCATATATATCCCAATTGAAACCACCTCCCTCAACTCCCCCCTGAGTCCCACTCTCCCTCTATCTACCCCTTCTCCCCTTCCCCTAGTCCACTGAAAGGGGGAGTTCTCCACCATTGCCATCTGCCCATAGCTTGTCAAGTCTCATCAGGACTGCCTGGATCTCTTCCTCCATGGCCTGGCAGGGCTGCATCATCAGGGGCGAGTGATCAGAAAGTAGTCAACTGAGTTCATGATAGAGACAGCCCCTGTTCCCCTCACTTGGAGATCCATATGCAAACTGAGCTGCCAATCCACTACATCTGAGCAGGGGTCTAGGTCCTCTCCATGCATGGTTCTCCTTTGGTGCATCAGTCTTTGCAGGACCCTCTGGGCTCAGATCTTTTAGCTTTGTTGAACTCCTTGTAGGGCTCCTGTCTCCTCTATATCCCTCTAATTCTACCCCCCTCTTCTTCTGTGAGACCCCCTGCACTCTGCCCAAAGTTTGGAATGTGAGTCTCAGCATCTGCTTCAATCTCCTGTTGGGTGAATCCTTTCAGAGGACCCTCTATAGTAGGCTCCCATCCTGTTTCCTCTATTCTCACAGTTTCTGATGTCTATCCTATTTGCCATTCTGAATGAGATTTAAGCATCCTGCCTAGGGTCCTCCTTAGTGTTTAGCTTCTTTAGGTCTATAGATGGCTATCCTATATTATACGGCTAATATTCGACTTATAGTTGAGTGTATACCGTGCCTGTCTTTCTGTTTCTGGGATACCTCACTCAGGATGATCTCTTCTAGTTCCATTCATTTGCCTGCAAATGTCATGATTTTCTTGTTTTTAGTAGCTGAGTAGTATTCCATTGTGTAGATGTACCACAATTTCTATATCCATTCATCCATTGATGAACATCTAGGTTGTTTCCAGATTCTGGCTATTACAACTAAAACTGCTATGAACATGGTTGAGCAAATGTCCTTATTGACTGGTAGGGCATCTTTTTTGAAGCTAGCCTGGACTGTGTAATAAGAAAAGGGTTCCTCTGCCCTCTTCTGGCCTCTTCAGGCACTGCGTGCATATAATGCACAGATGCAGACAAAACATTCGTATACAGAAAATAAAAATATACAAAACCTTTCTAAAAAGATAATACTAGGAATTGTGCTGGTTTAGTAGAATGGTAGCTGGAGATTCTCCTCCAAGATCTATGACTTCACTGACCCTGAACAGTAGTTTCCAGTACTAGGCATGACTTCCCTTTTGTTGAGAGTCCTCATAATCTCCTGAAAAAAGTGTGTCACCATAATCTCCTAAAAAAAAAAAAAAAAAAAAAAAAATCTAAACATTAGTCCTTATACCCACAGATATCAAGGAAAATTCTCTTTGCAACAGATGGAGACCACTATAGAAAACCACAACCAACCAAAATGTAGTGTTATGGAGCCCGGTCCCAATGGATAAATCTACCAAACACTCCTACACTCAAGGCTCAGAGAACAGTATGGCTAAGGAGGCAGAAAGATTGTAAGAACCATGGAGATTGTAGGAAACCAGGGAGTTTGCTGTGAAATTGTGTCTCCTAGTAATATCAGAACCCACAACCATAAAGTCTCAGCAACATGACTGCGCAAACATAAGCTGAACAAGGCTACATCAGCAGACATGCTACAGTGGACAGAGAAAGCCCATGAAGTCTCAATTCTACACAGAGAACTCATATGAAAGCCAATAGTAGGCTAAGTAGATTAGCAGTGGCCAGAAGCTGAGTAGAGAAGAAATTGACTACAAAGTGAAGAAAAGATATATGGAGTAATGTAGAGATTATACTCTGATCACAATGTCACAACACAACTGTATAAATTTGTCAAAGTTGCAGGACAGTACACTGAAATCATAAATTTTACTCTGTGTATTAAACTCCAGGTTGAGTAAGAAATATCATTTGCATAACGTTACAAACCTTACACATATGGCAATAAACTTAAGTGATGTGTTGGTATACAGAGCATGGTTGTGACTGGTGAGAAAAGGTTCAGATCTGCAGTATTTGCCAAGTGCCATGAGCTAAATGCCACTACCAAGGTCCATTGCGTCTGACTGTGGAAATGGGAAGAGGCACATACAATCAGCCATCATGATGCCAACATACTACTGCAATCTAACAAAAGGTACTTCAGACCTCTAAGGAAAAATATAAAATAGTACTACAATACAAACACAAATGTTCCCAGACTTAAAGACTACACTGTAAATGTGTCAATGGTTCCTTTTTTTCTGGATTAGCTGTAACAATAATCAAATTCTCAGCAATATTTCTCACACAAATTAACAAGCTCAGATGGAAACACACAGAGCAACAACAAAAAAACCAACAAAGAAATACTGAAGAACAATATTGGAGGATTTACAGCACTAGCCATTGATGGTTCAAATACACATTAATTAAGTTATGGTGACATTAGTTAGGTGTGATGGTACATGCCTGTAAGCCTAACACCCAGGAGGCTGAGGCTAGAGAACAGCTGAGAGTACAAGGCTAGCCTGAGCTACAGAGAAAGTTCTCTTCCAGCATACGCTACATAAAAACAAACAAGCAAACAGGTGTGATGGCCTATGCCTGTAACAGTAGTACTAGGGACACTAAGGCAAGAAGGTTGCCAGAGTTTACGCAAACCTGAGCTACAGAGTGTGACTCTATTTAACAAAAGAAAAGACAAGGCAATAGAAAAGGTAATACAAATGTTTAAGGATTCCAGACACACATTACAATCACCTTATTTTTCTTTCTTTTAATTAATTAATTCAATTTATATCTTGGTCATAGGGCCTTCCTTCCTCTCATCCCAGACCTACCCACCTGCGGCTTCCTCCCTCCCTCTATTTCCTCAGAATAGGGGATCCCCCCTATCCAAATGCCCCAGCTCATCTATTCACACGAGGATTGAGTTCATCTTCCTCCCCTGTGGCCTGGGAATAGCCATACCTCAAGACCCACCTATACCACTCCTGGGCGTACACCTGAAAGATGCTCCACCATACAAGGACATTTGCTCAACCATGTTCATAGAAGCTTTATTCATAATAGCCAGAAACTGGAAACAACCCAGACATCCCTCAACTGAACAATCATCTGATTTATAACAAAGATTTAACTGCAATAAACAAGGAAAGAACGTTCTTCCCAATAAATTATGTAAAGCAACTGAATTATCTATGAGGGAAAAATGAACCTCCACTTCCACTTCTCACCACACACAACAATCAGCTTAAACCACAGATCTAAGTGTAAAATAGAAAAAGCAGACAAAGGATGATCTTTTCTAGTTCCATCCATTTGCCTGCAAATTTCATGATTTCCTTGTTTTTAATAG